AATCGGAAAGTGTATTTAGGAGTGGCTCAATTCTGGCTGGCCATATTCGGGCCGGAGTTGGAAATTGATTTCTGGCCCAAATACTTCACGCCACAACTGGCCCTCATCTGGTTTGCCAGAGTCAAGCCAGTGCCTCCTTTGCCACGCCTGGGCCGTGTTCGGCCCACATGCGTTATGCCATTGCCGACACAAGGCCAGCTGTGCCGGCTTCATGCCGAATCCGGGCCAGATGCCTTTGCTGACTGGGCAATCACAGCATGAATGCAATTCTGGTAATAAGTTAGGGCTACAGACACACACACACACACACACACACATACACACACACACACACACGCACGCACATACACACACAAACACACACACACACACACACACACACACACACACACATACACTTACTCTGTCTCTGTCTGTCTTTCGCTGTCTCTCTTTCCTCTCTTTCTCTCTCTCGCGGGCAGCGTTATTCCGTGTTGCATTGTGTGTTTTAAATTAGATTTTAATGAATGTTTTGCCATCATCTGCAGTGTGTAGGTAGTCGTCATTTTGATTGGCTGCTCGCGATTAAATGCAAATCATCTGCCTCAGGGTCGACGCCGTCCGGTGGCCAATGACATCATGTTACAGAACCGTATTTTCCGAGCTATAAGGTTGAGCGTGGTCAAGCGCTATCCAGGGTGTTCCTGGGACACATAACCCAGCCTCAACTCAGCCCCGCCCCTGCCGTTACGTCATATAGACTCTCAGTTGTCGAAATTGGTGAACAATCAAAACAGTAACCGCCCCGGAGAGAGCAGAACGAGTTCCACCATCCATTTTCGTTACCGCTCATCCTCATCTGATGACAGCTGACTTTGGGCGGGAGGCGGTGTAAACCTAGGACTATTGTCCAGCTAGTCAATCGCAGGACACAGATTGACAAAAAAACCAACATGAAAACTCCCAATCTCAGATCTCCGAGGCGGATCATATAGTAGTGAAAAAAATCCCCGGACATCATGTCGCCGAAAGCCAGTTGCCAAACTTGAAATTTCTAATATGCCGTTTTTCTTACCATCTCATTTAAAAAATGTCATCGTGCATAAACTCTCTAACTTCAGATACATCACATGATTCAGGTAAGAGTTAGTTCAAATATGGTCAAAGTTTGTGTGAACAACACACTTGATACACTCATATACTGGACTAGTGTTTAACCAATACTGTACTGTACCTTCATCGTATGTGCTGCAGCTTCTTGTAATGTTGCATGCCGAAGATTTGACGCTTTGATAGGTTTGTTGTGGCGTTGCCTCGCAGATGAATCTGTCTTCAGTCAGGTTTTCCCATATTAAATTAACGAATGGGCATAATAAGTAAAACAAACATAGTCATTAAATGGAGCGATTTATATTCGACTGAGCTACTGACTCCCGAATAAAGTGCGCATGCGTATTGTGGTGGTTACGAACAAATTAAACACAAATGTCAACCTTGACGTTGTCTTTTAATCGCCGTTTGCGTAAGGCGAATAATACCGACGATTTTATTCTAGCAAAAAAAAAAATCCAGTTGGCCCAATAAGATGTTGCTTTTATGCTGTGACTCAATATGACAGATCTCTTTGTATATGTACATTTGTTTTTATATGCTTCAAAAATACAAAACAGGTTGAAGTTCACGAATGCTCGGGGGATTTACATTAAAATTATATACATTAAATGTATATTTACACAAAACCATTGGATTCAGTACAAGCAGGCACTGTACAGTTTTAAATGCTGTTTGCTTCACAGAATGTCTGTCTGATCGAAAACATTTGTAATGCCTGTACTAGTTTGTGAATGCATGGCTTCCTTCTCATAAAGTGACATTTATGTCTGTGAAATCGAGCCCTTAATATAAAAATATGAATCTAATACACATTTGAGGTTTTCCAGCAAAACCAAAAAGTACATTATTTCAGAAAAAAAAAATCTGACTCAGTTCTTGAACCTTTAGTCATTATAGGCTCAAGATGGATAAATTCAATGAATATAACATAATATGAAATATATGTCATAATATAAATTCAAAGCCGGAAAACCTAGTCATTGATTTCCTGTGTATGCAAGACAACGTGTTAATGATATGAGTGTTTGAAAATGAAATTGCTAAAAACAAACAAACTAACTCACTAACTAACTAAACATTTTTGGCTGGTGTCAGTGGGAAAATGTTAATGTATATTATTTATTTGTACAAATCTGATATGCTAAATGTAAATATAATTTAAGCCTTAACACTGGCTATTGTCATCTTTGGTGGCTCTGTTCACATCTGTCAAAAATGGGCAAGGAGAAAGTGCATGTTTTGTTGAAAGTGAATATAGGTTGCGTATAGACCATATGGTGCGTACTGTAAGAAGAGAGAGAACCTGGAAGCGATTACATTGTATTTTGTGCATACAGTTGATGTTATGCATTCATGTACTGTGTGTTCGTACAGCCCGGGTGATACATTGGGGCCTATGTTTTGATTTCAAGTTCACACTGTATGTTCTGATCTTGTATTGTGATTATGTAACATCTAAGTAAGAGATCTGGACATCAGATGTTATTGTGGCATTTTTTTTCCTGGACCAGCGTGTGACCAAGTTGGTCACACGCTGGTCCACATCACTGCACAATTGGAACCCCCACTCCCACCCCCCTTCCTTCCATTTCTTTGATGGAATGAAGAGATGAGTTCAATTCACTTTGTGTTTATGTCTTATGGGGAAAAAAAAACCAACTCAATATGTTGAACAAATTAATTAAACCTTAACAAAGGAAATGAACAAAATAAAAATAAGTTTAAATCTCAGTTTGGTGTTTTCCGTGGTGAGTCTAAAAAGGTTTGAGTGAAATCTAAATCAATAACTAAATGCATTATCTTTCAACATTCTTGAATAATAAATACTAGTGATATCTTGAAACATTTAAATGTATGTTTTTATATATATATATATAAATTTTTTTTTTTAACATTTTATTCTGGACAGTAATATGACCCTGTATTCTTTGCATGTCTCTCTCCTCAGTGCTGCTGATAACATGTAATGTCCTGACAGGCCAGATATTAAACAGTGGCTCCTCACCGTACACCATCCTGGAGTTTGTGGGCGAAGGTCGCTTTGGAAAGGTGGCCAAGTGCCTAAAAAAGTCCACCATGGACACAGTGGCAGTAAAGATCATTAAGAAGGATGCTTTTTTTATCAGGGATACTGAGAAGGAGCTGGCCATGCTCAAGATGGTCAGTGACTTGAACCCAGACCATGCCAATATCATTAAATTCTTTGAAAGGTTTGAATATATGGGTCATACCTGTCTGGTTTTTGAGATGCTCGACTGTCATCTGTTCGACTTGCTCATAGGACGAAATTGGGAGCCGATGTCTCTGAGTGAAATCCGCTCAGTTGCCAAACAGTTGCTGGTGGCCTTGGATGCTCTAAAGCGCCTTGGCATCTTACACACAGATATCAAACCAGACAACATCATGTGTGTCAACAAGCAGGACTGTCCCCTCAGGGTAAAGTTAATAGACTTTGGTTTAGCTCAGGTAGTCTCCAGCGTTCATCCCGGGATGAAGATACAGCCTAAAGGTTACCGAGCTCCAGAAGCTGCCCTTGGCCTTCCCTTCACTGAGGCTATAGATGTTTGGAGTGTCGGTTGCGTTCTGGTATTCCTTTACATTGCTGACAACCTCTTCCCTGTTGACTGCGAATACCAGATGATGAAGTGTATGGTGGATGTTCTGGGTCAGCCACAGGACCACATGCTATGTGCCGGGAAATATACCAAACGCTTCTTCACTAAGGAGGAAGCCAGTGAAGGTCTACACTACAGACTGAGGACACCAGAGGAGTATGAAGCAGTCAACCATACTACACCTCTCGAGTGGAGCGGCTTCATTGAACCACCCAGCTCTCTGGACGCCCTTATGACCTTTTATCCTGTACGGGGTGAGGTTGGGGAGCTGGAGGACCGCAGAGCATTTGTGGAGCTTCTGAAATGGATGCTACACCTTGACGGGGACCAGAGGATCTCGCCCCATCAGGCTTTGCTGCAGCCATTCATTACAATGGCTCACTTGAGCAAAGACCCTGACCATCAGTGCAGTGATTACATGAGCACTGCTTGCAGCATGATGAAAAACGTGCAAGAGGACGACTGCAAAGACAAAGATCCAGAAAACCAGTGTTCTGATATGGACAAACTCATTGAAACAGCTCAACCTACTTCCCTGGATTTCCGTAGCACAATTTTTAAGAGAATTTACAGACTGTGTGGCCGAATTACCCCATTATTTTCTTGTTTTAGCCCCTCAGCGGATGACAGTACTGTAAATGCTTCTTAGCTATTTTTCTTTTATATTTTAATGTATATCGACATTTGGTAAGTCCCATAACAATTTACAAACCCCAATTCCAATGAAGTTGGGACGTTACGTAAAACATAAATAAAAATACAATGGCCTGCAAGTCATCCACCTTTATTCAACCAGACACACATGCATGCATGCACACATTTAATGTTTCAATCACGAGATGAAACAGACCTTTAGTTTCCTGAGTGAAAAGTTGATAGTCTGTAGGGATTCATGCAGGTGTGACGTTCAAGCACCTCGTTTATCAATTTTCTATCGCATGTACAGCAAGTTGAAAACATTTCCCTCATTGTTGAATACATTTTATTAGTGACAGCTTTCATGATTAGTTGTTTCATTTTAAGTGGCAGCAAAACGCTCGATATTTCATTGTATTATCTCACGGAAATAGTGTGTGTATAAAAGCAAAATTTTATTAGCATGTTCATTAAGTTAAATATTGAGCTTGTGAATCTCGTATTTAACATTTGTGCATTTTTGTATCGTGCATGTAGTTCAACAAATGTTTCAAAGGTGGTGCTCCCTTTGAACTGTCGAATAAAATCAACATTCAAGGTAGTGAGGTGTAAATAGGTTTAACCTGTCCTAAATTGTATGTAAAGTGCCCAGTGGTCAACAGGTTAGCGCGTCGGCCTCACTGTGCAGAGGTGCAGAGTTCGATTCCAGCTCCGGCCTTCCTTGTGTGTAGTTTGCATGTTCTCCCCGTGCATGCGTGGGTTTTTTTCCGGGTACTCCGGTTTCCTCCTACATTCCAAAAACAAGCATGGCAGGCTGATTGAACACTCTAAATTGTCCCTAGGTGTAAGTGTGAGTGCGGATAGTTGTTCGTCTATGTGTGCCCTGCGATTGGCTGACAACCGGTTCAGGGTGTCCCCCAGGTACTGCCCGAAGACGGCTGGGATAGGCTCCAGCACCATTGTGAAGATAAAGCGGATCGGAAAATGAATGGATGGATGACTAAATTCTAATAGAACAAAGCATGGCGATTGCAAACTGTCACCAGTCCCTTTCACAAGGCTCTCTGTATGGTATACCCAAAAGTTTAAAAACGTCGCTCTCAGTAGGTGTAGGTAGGGGAGTGCCAGCATACACCTTGGCACTACCTTGACGCACCACACTTTGATTAAGCGAATGCTCTGACAAGCTCATGTTCTTTGTCTTTGCTAGAGCCCGCATGGAGCGGTTGAAGTGTGCCGAGCCGGTGAAGTACATCAGCGCACAGGCAAACTCATTGTAAGGCACCACAATGACATCCAGCCTGCGATGGCGGCGGTCTGCTCCTGGCAGGCGGCATACGCCCATGTATTTCTTCTGCTCTCCATTGTCCTCGTGACTCACAAGATCATCTGTCAAAAAGCCTGAGGAAATAACATAAAAATACGACTTTGAGTACAGATGACAAGACTGTCCACTCAATCATTCTTGCAGAGCTTACCAGTGTCATGGAGGCTCTGGAGCACTTTGCTGAATACACCTTTGTGGGATTTTCCGTCAGGATGTGAAATAAGCACATCAACATCTCCACATGTACTCTTTCCCCTGCGATACGAGCCACATGCCATTGCCACCAGGCCAGAATCTATTGCTTTGGCAGCATGCGTCACCTGCACAAAGTCAGAAATAAAATAAATACTGTTTGTCATCAATAACAGTGATCCCCAACCACCGGTCCATCGAGCTTTGTATTTATTTTTTTGCCCATCTATGTGTTGGCTAGCAGTCTACGAACTGTAGGATGGGCAACAGACGATACTGAGGGGTGAACAGTGCTGTTGATGCCTTGGGGACACGTGAGACAGAAGAAAAATAATTACTATGTGCATCCCAATTCAGAGTAACAGAAAATAGATAATGTCCTTATTTAATCACTATCACGCAATGCAACTGGGTGTGCCAAACATAAGCTTTACAACCAGTGCTTCATTGTGATGGAACCAAATGGAAAATAATTCCCAAATGTTTGACATGAAGCGTGGTGGTTCAATTATTGAAGGAAGCAGCCTATAATGCTAAATGTTGCCAGAGAGAAACAAAGATGTATTTACCACTTCCTCAATGGCTGCAGCTTCTTCCCTAGGCATTCTGTCTTGGAAGTCATCGTAGTGCTTGAGCCCTATTTTCTGAGAGCTGCTCAAATGGGCTTTTGTGCGGATGTCCTCCAAAGTGCGGAATCCCTGATGAATTAAAAAAAAAAAAAAAAAAAAACCCTTGAAAATCCGAGACAACACTGATTATTCTAAAACTAGTGCAATGCCTAATCATTACTATTATAAAACTACTACAACAGAAACTCCCAGTCTGAACTCTGGCCTCGCTGAAGAGGTACAATAGCTATGTTTTTATTTCGAGCTTGTCATTTGGTCATGCCTACTTTTCGATCTACGTCTAAAAGGGATCATCTTTACACCATACTTTTTACTTGTATACTTTCCCTTACATTCATCAGAGGTGAGCATTCCATCAGTACTGACGGAAGATCCCCCAGACTGTCACTCATGGACACCCATTTTGTTCACGGTTGACGAATGATGGAAAACGGGAGAAAAAAAATGATGGACTACGCACTGACGAAAATGGGTTTTGTGCATCATTGTAATCATCACTCACCGTGTCAATTACTGAGTGACGTCTCAGTCTGTCACACGGACGCCCTTTTTGCTGACAACTGTCGGAAATTCGCCCTGACTGTCTCGTGTCTGTTTTTTGTTTTTCTTTGACAGACAGACGATAGACGGTCTCGCTGACCATGTGAAATTTACTGACGGAAGCAATGACAGACAGTGCAGTCAAAATAACATGACGGGCTGACCGACTGATGATTACAGTTTTGTTCAGCTTTAAAAAATGATGGACTGACAATAACAGGCAGGTGGCCAGGTCGCTGACGAATGCCAGACCAGTAAAAATTTGTAAATTGCACACCTCTGATAATCATGTTGCGTGAATGGTTGCAGACAGCGGACGAGTGCACCAGTGCTTCACAGCAAAGATGTTTGGGTCTTAAATCTTAGCTTCGTTCTGTGTGGAATTTGCGTGTGGTTTTCTTCAGAAGGCAGCTACGCATTTGAGCCGGCACATAATAAGCTATATAGAGAATGAACGATGGAGAGTACCTGTTGGTACCAAAGCTGTGCTGTCTTTGCTCCCGCACCCCAAATGTTGGTGAAAATCTCCAATACTGGCACCGCCTCTCCAATGTGATCCAGTTTGCGCAGATGACCACTTTCCATGATCTCATCAATTTTGTCCGCCATGCGTTTGCCAATTCCCGGGATGAGGCATGCCTCCTGAAACAGAGGACACAGAAAATGAAAAATTGAGGGGTTCATTGCTTCTTGCGAATGTATGCCGTATCTCTTGCATCTACATTAGCTTACCTGATATGACGTAACCGGCTTGTGATAGCTCTTCAATGCATTGATAGCTTTGGAGTACCCCAATGCCCTCCACTTGTCCCCCTGGTGTGTATAAGCCTTGGCCAGTAGTTCTAGTTTGTCGGTGATGTGTTTGTTGAAGTTATCACTTTTAGATTGAGAAGATTGTGCGCAGACCCACTTCCCTGAGACCACCGGACGAATGCCAGTGTCTCCACCAGGCTCAAGGTTGAGCCCAGTGGCTTCTTCTTTGGGGCGCTGGCCTGTGATGAGAGCTTCAAGGTGACTCTGACTGACTCCCTCATCTTCTCCTTGCGTTTCTTTTTTGTCTGATGCAATCTGAAAATGATTACATGGTTATGGTAAGGAGTTGTCCATTCTGGCAATAACCATATTTACTTGGGAGATTGGTGAACTTGGTTACGCATTGGGCTGGGCGATAATTCAACATCATTAGGTATCGCGATAGACTTGTGATAGATATTAATTGAAAACGCCTTCAATGAAATATTCTGTGTGGTAAGCAGCACACACGGAGAAGCATCCAAACCAACGAAGAAGCAGCAGCATACTCATGTGGAACGAAACACAGGCGTAACTTTGTTCAACTAAATGACCAGTTGGCTCAGTGCAACTCTTGCATACTAACCCGATTAAATACCTCGGGATGGATATGTGCTGTACAAGTAAATGAGTAGCCCGCTGTCTTTGACCTGCTAGCACCAGTGTTTGCCATGGAAGGCACTCAACATCCCACTGAAGTCAAAATCATGCAAGTAAATCATAAATGGACGACGGTAATAATGGGTCCGCTAAAAAATAAATAAATAAATAGTAGGCGGCCCGGTAGTCCAGTAGTTAGGACGTCGACTTCACAGTGCAGAGGTACCGGGTTCAATTCCAGCTCCGGCCTCTCTGTGTGGAGTTTGCATGTTCTCCCCGGGCCTGCGTGGGTTTTCTCCGGGTACTCCGGTTTCCTCCCACATTCCAAAAACATGCATGGCAGGCTGATTGAACGCTCTGAATTGTCCCTAGGTGTGAGTGTGGGCGTGGATGGTTGTTCGCCTCTGTAATTTTTTTCTCAGTCCTTATTTTCAATAGTTAAAAAGATTATCTATATATATCGATACAGACCAATATGAACTATTTCTCTTGTTAAATTCTTTTCAGGCATGTCGCCCAGCCCTCATTGCGCATAAGACTTTTCTACAAATGTAACAGCCACTGACCATGTCTGATGTCTCCCCTTGCTTGCTTTGATCACATTCTGGCTTGGGAGTCACTTCAGTTGGAGATTTGGTGTTCAGCAAGTCTTGTTGAGTTTCCAAATCCCTAAGATGAGAGAAGACTGACAATAACAGGAGCAAGATAATATCTAAGTCAAACGGGCTCCTCTGTAAAGGAGAGATGACAACACTACTAAAACAACAGAAGTGTCTACACTAAGTCTAATACAGACCGCAATGAGGTGTAAATGCATGTAAACCCGCATTCACTGAGTTTTAACCACAGCAGACAAAGCAATGAGAGGTATTACCTCTTTGTTAAAAGACTGTAGCTTGATTCATCCAAGAGTTGTTTCTCACTGATACATGAACTTAACCAGCTGCATTTCACGAGATGGACACCGGAAGGCATTGCGTCCACCTTGATGAGACGCAGAGCCCTGTCACACTCCATGTTGTCATCAACAACAACATGAGTGACACCAGCACAGAGCGACCTTTCTGTCTGGCCTCCGTTCTGTTGAATTTGTCTTTGAAATATTTGACATCTTGCATTTCCTATTCCTGCAGGCAGGATGTACACTGAGGTACCATTAAAGGTATGTCCTACAAAAAGAGAGACAAAAGACAAAATGAAATGTGGCGCATGATCTGACTTGGAACCAAAACAAAATAATACCAACCTGTGACATCAAATTCATCAGATGTCTTCTTTAAAGGAGGAGAATCTTTTCCTTGAGAAACTCGGGCCCTTTTAACTTTGGGGAAGGCTTTCATAACCCCGTGACACGGTTCCATCTTCAGGGTGAAAAAGGCAAGCTGTACATTAGAAAATGTTTTGATAGATAAATCTTTCAGGTTGTTTTTTTTTTGTTGGACATTTATGTTGTTTTTGTAAAGAAGTCATTAAAACTATTCTAGAAAAAATGGTACACATTTTTATTATTATTACTACTATTATTATTATTTATATAGTAGTAGTAGTAGTAGTCGTAGTAGTATTTTATTTCAAAATTGAACAGAGTCATTCCTATTTCTGGTGTTACTGCCGATACTTCCAAAACTGATTGCACGGATTTGCTGCACATTTTTAAATTTTAGAGCTGCTCACTAACTATTATAATAATAACCTAATTAATCTAGCCATTATTTCTTAGATGAAGTGATGAATCGGATTTAAAAAAACATTCTAGCCAAGTGTTCCTCGATTTATTCAACTCAACCTATTTATAGAGCGTTTATAGATTTATAGAGCACTTTAAAACTACCATTGCTGGATACAAAATGCTGTATAGGGAATATAAAATTATTATTCAATAGCAAAGCCAGTCAAAACAATTAACATAAAAACAGTAACCGCCATCCATCCATTTTCTGAACACTAATCCTCCGATAAAATAGAAAAACAACGCTGCTTCTCGTGCTGACTCAAAAGTCGTAGAATAAAAATTTATTTTAAGAAGGGTTAAAAAAATGGAGGGGGGGGGTTGTCCACAATGTCTTAATATTGTGCAAGGAGAAAACAAGAAACATTTAATAGTCACACACTTCTCAATTTCGATGTCGCCTCGATAATTATATTCATGCTCGCAGTGCTGAAGAATCCTCTGTTAAGCACTATACTTCAAATCCATCATATATGAACGAAATTATGTTAGCAGTCTGCAGTACTTTGTTTTAACGAAACTAATTTTAACCTACGTCTATCTTGACACTATACATATACTGTCGAACTGGCATTGCCGAAAAAAGGTTCGTATTCGGAATAATCGGATACAGTACATGTGTCCTTGTATTCAGTAATTTCGACAACCCGATGTATAATAAACACGACGTGGTTACCTAAGCACTTTAAAAATAATTTGCCATGTTTTGCGCTTACCCTCTTCCAGAAGGCCACGTTCCTACTAGTTCACAAAAATCCATGTTGAAAGCAAACTCTTCCGGTTCATTTTTTTAACTCACTGATTTGCATTTTTTTTAAAAACGTGTCATGAAACATTTTTGCCCCCACACTTTTTCGGTCAAACGCTATAATCGACACATAAGTGTCTCTTCAGACTGTATGTTTTGTTCTAACTTAAAAGTATAGATCTCACTACGCGCATGAGCCATCAAGTGTTTGTGTGAGTTACGTAGCAAACATTTCCGGGTTATTTGCTCCGCACTGTTTTTAAAATATTGTTATGCGTTATTGTAATATTTTGTTCCAACTGTTTTTAAAAATGTCCATAGTGTCTTTTTGTCAGTGAAAACGTTTGCTTTGCGTTTACATGCAATCACCAAATGTCAGAAAATAAGCATGCAGAACGGCCTAATATTGACGATTTTTTAAGTTGATGACATCTGCACGAGTGCTGTGTAAACAAACATATTCGTTCATGTGTTCTCGTTTATTTTTCTGAATTAGTTTATATCTGACTTGTTTTTTAATAAAAGCATATATGATTTTGATTTGTTTACTTTGTTGTGAGTTGCCGTGGTTACAGTTTGATTCCGGAAGTGTCTGCACAACTCAAACATGGCTGCGCAAAGCTGGATCGACAACCTAAAATCCTCAAAGAAAACTGCTTTGATTCACGATGGTGAGTATAGAGTTGTAACAACGTTTTTTTGTAGAAGTGTGTTTTCGTTGTCAACGGATGGCCAGACGTTCAGTACTGTATTTTCACCCGCCATTCAAAATTCTTATTTTTGTGGACGTGAATAGAATGCTAAAAAGTTCACCCCACAAACCCTGTCTGCAAATGATCGTAAAGAGCAAACACGATAAAATAACAAGAACCACCTTAGTCATTATCAACATGGTCACACGCCGTTTTAAACAGTAGGCCTACTCGTAATATAACAGCCACTGTCACTGTTTCTTGTTGATCCAGACTCTTAGAACATATTCCTTGTAACCAACAGCCTTATAATAACTAATATAATAAGATTAAAAAAATGTTTCAAAGGCCAAAGCTTGTGACTGACAGAGAAGACTGATTGAATGGATAAACAATAAGTTTTAAATGCCATGGTAAATGTACCGGTAATCAGGAGGATTGAGTAGTGATTAGCGCATGCTTCAGAGTGCTGAGGTTCACGGGTTGAATCTCGGCGCCTTCCTTTTGGAGTTTGCATGTTTTCCCATTCCCCCAGATGCGTGGATTCTCATCTGGTACTCTGGCTTCCTTGCACATTCCAATAAAGCACATGCTTGGTTCATTGAAGACTAGTTTGGCCATAGCTGTAAATATGAGTGGGAATGCTTGTTGATTTATATGTGCCCTGCGATTTCCTGGGAGCAGTTAAGGGTGGTCTCTCGACCATTGTCTGTTGGGTTAGGTTCCAGTTCACCTGCAACCTGATGAGGACAAGCAGGATAGAATGTCAATAGAAGCCATATGTATTGTTGGCTAATGAAAATGCACATCCATCCATTTTCGGATCCGCTTATCCTCACAAGGGTCGCAGGGCAGGCGTCTTCGGGCAGCAGGTGGGGGACACCCTGAACCGGTTGCCAATCCCAAGGCACACAGAGACGAACAACCATCCACGCTCACACTCACACCTAGGGACAATTTAGAGTGTTTAATCAGCCTGCCATGCATGTTTTTGGAATGTGGGAGGAAACCAAAGTACCCGGAGAAAACCCTCACAGGCCCGGGGAGAACATGTAAACTCCACACAGGGAGGCCGGAGCTGGAATTGAACACGGTACCACTGCACTGTGATGTCGACGCGCTAACTGACAATGCCCATTTGATTCCTAATTTTCATGTTTTGCCATTCCAAAACATAAGGGAAAAGGAAGATCCACTACCTCTTTGGAGATGGAAAAGAAATGGCAGAAGAGTATGACTTGAGGACAGATGAACTTGTTGGTAAGCAGTGCACAGCACGAGTCATCCACCAGCCAAGATTTTTGTCCATAAGATGATGCATTTTGTGGAACATTTGGTGCTTTGCAGTGCGGAAGTGGCGTCACAAAAACACCCTTGGAGCGCAAGGTCAATGGCAGGTAGAAGTTGGGGAGCCGCTTGTTGGTCCTGTTGCCTCTTTGGATGCTGAGATGCTCAAAGAGAACTGCTCCAATGTATGTTTTCTCTCTACAGTCTTGAATCCAACATGTTGCATTGCAGTTGGACTCTATATTTTGGATTGTTTGCACCCAGTCGATGATTCTGAAGAGCCATCCCTTTTATTTCCACAGCCTGTGTTTATGCGTAAAGATACAAAGACCAGTTTTCAGTGGAGAATCCGGAACCTTCCCCACCCCAAAGATGTCTTTCATGTTTCAGTACAAGCGCCTGAAAGATGTATTGTCATAAAAACGTCCAACAAAAAGTAACTATACTTGAACACGCTCACACTACCACTTGTTGTAACGCTATTCTTCCTATAGATGGCACTGTTCGCTCTGCATTACTCTCCAGCGTTGTCACAACCTTTTTTGAGCCGAAGCCTCATTTTAATCCTAATTTCAAATATTGTGTTAACATCTTCATTAAAAAACAATCAGACAAGACACCGTCAAACAAAAATATCACAAAAAGTGGATACACAGGTTAAATATATACTTTATGCCATCGAGTGGAAGAGCATTTCATTCTTCTGCCTGTTACAATATGACGCCAGCACAGATAGTTGAACAAAGACACAATGTTTGTTATTTATTTATTTATTTATTTATTTTTCTCTTCTGGACCAATTAAGTGAAATAATAAAAATAATTTCTCAGGGCACACCTGATGAGCTGTCACAAGCACACGAATGTGCCGAGGTTGGGAATCACTGGTCTGGAGGCTGTACATCAAGCTGTCCTCTTTTGTGCATTACCAGGTATTACAAGAAGTTTGGTATTCCTGATTTGGATCGCAATCAAGTTCCACTGGACAGCTCTGCCTTAACCTTCACTCATGCTAACAACACTTTGATAGTCAGTGTAAGTACCATACGCATGCATAAATGTTCACATATTCCTACCCTTACTTAATATGTCTCATTACTGCCAAACATCTTTTTCTGTGGGGCAGACGACAGTTTTCCCAGACAGGCTTCTGATTAAGACCTGACTCATACTGCCCTTAAACTTTTTCATGACAAATTTCATTTATGTATCACGCATATCCGGTGCAGAGTCTGTTCAAGCTGGCGACACCGTGGTCTGACCTCAGCCAAACCCAGACTATTAGTCCTTTGTACTTGCATGTTAGCATGTTTGACAAACATAACCCCAAACATTGAGAAAATGTACAAATGTGATACAAGAAAGTCAGAACTGAAGTTTCGAACCGAAAAAGCCTTCAGACTTGCCACTTAGCTACTGTGTGATAATGACTTAGGCAGTTATGCTCTTCAGCTAACAATGTGTAAAAGGACTTACTTTCATTATATAACAACATCATTCTTTTGTTTTAGAGTCAATGTTCACAAGTAATCTACAAATTTAAAAAAAATTGCATGATTTCCAGAATATGCATTGTCAGTTTTCTACATGGTTATTCTATTTATGTTTTACAATAAACACATCAAGCAATTATGTCATGAAATCAAGACAAATCGAAATGTGTATGGAAAAGGTAAAAGTTGTCTTTTAAATTGGCAATGAAGAAGTTATGGAGTTATTAATGAGACAAATGAGACCAAATACACAATACGTTGAATTAGTCAATCATAGGCGGAAAACGGCTGAATTAACTCAACTGAATAAAATTTACTTTTCTATAATAAAATAAAAAACCAATAAGTTGTCCTTAATTTTCTAACATTTATAATTAACAATTTTTTTAGGAGTGGGGAGGGAGGCGCAAAATGAATGCAACAAATATTGCAGGACTGCTACATGGGCTGGATTAAAAACATGGGAGCAGGCCATACTTTTCCCACCCCTACTGTCACGCATGACTGGAATTGATTAATTGTAATTGAATTGTAGTGCTGTGGTAATGCATCTTTATTCTTTCTTCTCCACCCACTTGTCCAATTTTCTTTTAATTGGTCTCTTGTGTGTATACTGTTGTTTCATATCAAAAGAACAGATCTTTACAGCTTCTTTAGAAGATGTCTTGAAGTTCTAATGAACTGCTTCTGTTTAATGAAGCAATGCAGGTAGTATCAGTGGAGCTCTTTGTAGACTACAATGACATTTCCCTCTGTCGTCACTCTTGTACAGTACAAGAAACCCAAAGAGATTTTAACCCTCGAGCAGGAGCTGATGAAGGAGCTGAAGAAGTTAAAGGCGACGAGCGAAGGTGACATCGACTGCAAAACTCAGTGAATTCTGAAGGATGGAGTGAATGCCACATACTGGTCTTTTTTTTTTGTTTGTTTTTTGTTTTTCTTTAGATCAGAGTTTGTATTGAATTCATGTTTGGTTATAGTCTCCTGATGCAATTTGCATAGATACTTCATTTGGTAAACATTTTCTTTCTTATGATTTCCACCAGCATTTTGAAATTCAAACCACTGACAAGCCTCAACAAATAAACATTGACATTTGTGGAAAGTTTAGATCAGAACACTGTCTTAATGTTACTTCATGTGACATGCTTTCTGCCTCCCTCTCCAACCCTGTGCACTGTGGTCTTGATGGAAGTCACATAACCTACCCGGCTTCCTTTCATTGATGTCCCTATAAAGCACTCAAAACACACAATGAGCCATCCCTGTTCGTTCCAGGGTCACTGTTACGAGCACGTCCCATTTGTGTTAACTGAATACCTTCATGTTCATTGCGTGTTGTGGGCCACCCTGAAAGCCATTAGTGGAGGTTTGCGGATGGAGGTAGCTAGCACATGTAGAACTGTTTCCATTTTACCCGGCCTCGAGGTTTCATGAGACCTAGGCCCTGTGGTCAACATCACTGACACAATTCTGGGTTAAGTACAAGGCAACACACAGGACTTTGTTCCAAATTGGTATATTGTTGTCCACATGACACAAATATTTTGTCAACATTTGCTGACAGTAAAGTTCTCCCAAGCAATTAGGATGATATTTGGTGACAAATTATGGCCTTTAATATGAAGGACCTGCCTTTTTAGGGTTAATCCAAACAACCTTCTGGTTATTATTATCCATCAATGCCTCTTCTAGAAACTGGTAACAATTTATTACATCCCCACAAATACTTTGAAATTAAAGCCTACGTTTACAGTACTGTACTGTCATAATCAAGTTTTCTGCACGGCACATTTGCTTCTACAATTTGTGCGGCCCGGTGGTGGACTGGTTAGCGCGTCAACCTCATCGTGCAGATGTGCACGGTTTGATTCCGGCTCCGGCCTTCCTGTGTGGAGTTTGCATGTTCTCCCCGTGCCTGCGTGGGTTTTCTGCGGGTTCTCCGATTTCCTCCCACATTCCAAAAACATGCGTGGCAGGTTAATGGAACACTCTCAATTGTCCCTAGGTGTGATTGTGAGCACGAACGGTTGTTCGTCTCTGTGTGCCCTGCGATTGGCTGGCAACCAGTTCAGGGTGAACCCCGCCAAATGCCCGAAGACGGCTGGGATAGGCTCCAGCACGCTCCCGCGACCCTTGTGAGGATAAGCGGATCAGAAAATGGATGGATGTGCTTTGGAAGGACTTGCTACATGCTGCTGCCTTTTGTACAGGCAGCGCGGGTTTCGATTGCCCGGCATGACCCCGTTCCCAAAACCAGGCCAGTGATGTGTGGTTTGGGTTAGAAAAGGCATCCTGTGTGTATCAAAAATATTGTGAGTGACTTGCTACGGTGACCCCTGATGGGACAAGCTGAAAATAATAATCATGTAGAGGGACATGCCTTTGTTTACAATATTTAATTTTTTTAAAGCAACAATCCACATTTGAGGGATTCTCGGGGAAAAAAATCAAAATAACCATATGTTCCAAGCCAACTCAGCACAACATTTTGGCCATGTTTGTGGAGTAACTTGCTACAAGACTCGCCGTCGTTTTGGATATCGTCACTGCATGGAGTTCACCCAGGCACAGTGACAAAAAAAATATTTTAGTTACAGGTCTTAAGTTTAATTGTAAAAACAGACAATACTTTGAGTTCTCTCTTCCAAATGGAAAATAGTATTTGAATATGCGCGATTTCAGTTGAGGATTCTTTCCACTGACACTTAAATCCATTGGCCTCTCTATCTATCTATCTGGTTTATTGCGCAATGATCATCGAGCAAGAACCAAGCTTCTCGGTTGTGAAGCCATTTTTTGAATGTATGTGATTCCCATTGACTCCTGCTTCACAGAAATACCTGCCAATTTAATCTGATACCGTTTGTGTCTTGAAGATGTCCTCTTAGAGTACACCAAGGCCATACGGCCATCGTCAATTCCCTGGAAAACCTGAGGCCATTCCAGTCGTCCAAACAGCAGCGAACAAATTGAGCATCCAGCTCATGCATTGTGAGCACATGCAGCCGGGTCCTTGTGTTCAGGTTCTTCTTCCTTCCCTGTCGTTTGGCCTCAGACGGTCATGCTCAGCTGCTTCTGGGAAGAGACTTCTCTTTTCTACCCCCCTTTCACTCCCGAATGCCTCTTCCCAGCCATTCGCCCTCTTTCAGTCCATGCCACATTTCGCCACACAGGCCCTGATGTTTTTTTTTTTTTTCCCCCTGCGCCCAAACCTCCCTTCCAACACCTCCCTGTGTGACTGGCTTCTTTTTGATAACTGACCCCTCCTCGTGTTATTATTCAAACCCACTATTGTATAACATGCCCTTTTATATGAGCTCTCACAAAGGCCCATTTGATCAGAGGGTTACGGTGTGCGATCGTGAGAAATGCAACTACATGGTGGTAACCTTTGTTTGGGCCAAAATGGTGGGCTGACCTCATCGCTTTTAATGCGTAGCTCCAGCCATTCAGGTCCAAGTCTCACTTGCTGAGCACATTCAACTCTGTGGCCTGTCACAGATATTGCCCTTCAGTTATCTGGGTCTCTGACTTGAAGGGGAGGGGTGGGGGCAACAGTTGGGGGCAGTGGAGCGGCGGTCGGGGCCAAACGTTCATTCGATCGCGAAACATTCACGAGAGAGAAGCCAAGGTACTTTTGAGTGGGTTTTTTAGTGGTTTTAATATACACTCTACAATAAATATCCATTTGATGTCATTTACATTTTTACAGTAAAAAATATATTCATAGATGTTGAAAAAATTCCAAAATGACCTCCTCGCGGAAATGAGAAAGTCAACTGAAACTCAGATGCTTGAACCACAACAGTAAAAACAGAGCTAGCTGCCTCGTTTAGCTTCATTGTACTTTCAACATCTTTCCCGCCCAACTTCGACCCGAGCTACCTCTTCCTATCAATTCAATTTCCCGCGAATTTAATGAGAAAAATTGCATCCAACATCTTCTCACGAAATAGGAAATAATGATCAAATTTGACAGTCAATGTGTACGGAAAATCCAGAGCAAAGAATGACATCAGAAGTCCAGGAAATGAGAGATAAAGTGGCATTTGACCGTGAAAGGTGAATTGCCCCCGCTCCCCCCACACCCCCACCGCCTCCCATAGTGGTTTGTCCGTGATGGTTTGTCCACATTGTCGCCTCTCAGCGGCCCACTGAGCGCTGCTGATGTGAATGTTTAGTCCGCTTGCTTAAAGGAAGAACAGAGAGCGGCAGAACATCAAATGGTCTTCTCTCACTCAGCAAGTGCCCCCTAGGTAGCCGCTTCATGAAGTGGGCCTCTCTCTGGTGCTGCTTGGTCTTTGAGGCCTTCCTTGGACGACCCTTGCGTGTGAAAGCCATGTACCAGCCCTCGTATTTGGCGTTCTGGAGTGCTGTGTAGTTATTTTCCAGAACTATTTCGGTAAAAATGCAATCTTTGCCTCTTCCCTTTTTCTGAAAAAAAAAAAAAAGGAGAGACGATGCATGATTCGGAGGTAGTTTGACACCCAGAAATTGGAAACATTGATTCCATCATACGGTGAAAATACTTTGAGGTTCTAAAAACTGGCGAAGCACTACTTTTGTCTAAATGAAGCGCCACAACTCACATTGGCATTAGTTCCTTGGCACCAAGGTGCCACAAAGTGGCACCAAAGCAATACTTTGATTTTATAGCCGCGGAATATGCGGGGGACACTCACTGTATATGTATTTCCTGTGTATTTGAGGCAGTTTCCGTCATTCTTTTTTCCCCTATTAGGCTTATATAAATTACTTTGTACTTGAGACACACTAGTGACTGAAATGTGAATACATGACGTTGATACATGGAGTTGCCTCGAAGGTGCTGTATTTAGAGTAAGTCTGTCCAAATTCCTGTTTCTGTCAGATAGTTTGTCATTCAAATAGCTCAATGGGAGTGGCTGGAATACGTACATTTTTTCCTTCTGCCTCTCAGAAGTACCTCACTTACCGTATGATTGAGCCAAAATCTGCCAAGAAATAAGTCCTGGGCAAAATTTTTGTAGATGTGATGCATTCCAAATGATTATGCAGCACAGTTTTTAATGCAAAAACAAATCCCTATTGCGGCATGAAGATCAAGTTACAGCAACGTCTTCAATATGACCCCATCAACTCTCATCCAGCCACAACAAGAGTTGCCCTTGATACCAATTTGGAGCTACATCTTCAATAGTATTTTTGCAGCTTGGGCTAGTATGAGAATTATTTTAACGTATGTCTCTTTTGATAACTCGGTAGGATGTGTTTAGTTTGAAATTAAGAAACATCTCGGCATCACATGCTTGTTGATGTTGCGTCCTTTATGGAACAATGTGGAACTCCACCAATCATCCACAACTCCATCCATCTTTAACTCTTCCAAGTCACACTGCATTGAGCCGCGAAAAAAAAGTGTTTGAAAATAGTCTTGATGTATTTCTGAAGCCACTGCAAAGGTTTCTCCTTTTGAACAGGGCTTAGGTGCGGCCGAAATACGGCTTTATGCATGACTGCAGGCTTGGGGAAGATCCTGCATTGCATTGGGTCTCCAGAGATAGCAGCAGTTTCAACAATCTGCTTGCTGTTCATCACGGACTTTTTAACAGCTGCTCTTTTAAAATGATACATTGCTTTTACAGGAACTTTGCTCCTTATTGGAACAAACGCATTCGCTGTCTGAGTCAGACACAAATTATTTAACAGGATGTTCTTGAATTGTCCAATGTTTGCATTCTTTTTTTTTCAAGCCACTGAACCATGCCACATTTTTAAAAAAAATCACACAGTGGCTTGTTCCACACTATTTTTTTGTCATTTAAAAACTCACTCTGCAGCTTACCTTTCCAATCAGCTTCCCGCGTTTATTCATGCATATGTAGTATCCACTCTTCACCCCTCTGATCCGCACTCGGCTCCCGAAAGAATCGGTCTCCACCTCAAGTTTAGCTGCACAGGCAAACGCAAGCCAAATCATGAGATGAGGTGCAAACATTAATATTCAGATTTTACAGTGACACCAATGAACCGTCGTCTTTTCTCTGAATGAACTCGAAATGAACAGTGGAGCATGTCGTCTGTAATGTCATCAAAGGGCATTCACTGATCTTTGAAAGCACCCTGTCCAATGAACCAGGATTGCAAAGATGGCAGACATTCCCTCTATTGGGATGATGTCAGGGTCAGTAAATGTTGTGCTGTGATGCACTTCAAATGAGGGACGAAGGAAAGCGCCGCTGGCAGATTTGGGCCACTTATGAGAGTGACACCCACTTATAGGTGTGCGTGAGGACTTGTGGGTCGGGAAATCCAAAAGACTACATGAAACAAGGAAATGTATCTGCCGACCTCACTTGTTTGTAGAAATGGAGTTCACGAGAAAAGCAATTCAATTTTTCTCCATAATGAGCCTCCAAAAAAGGAGACTTTCAATGGATGGATGGAGGCTGTGATGGAAAGACAACTTAACCTTGGGGACAGGACTTTTGCAAATGATTCATTTTGATAAGAGTCCACAAGCACATGAAATTACTTGTAAAAAAAAAAAATGACGCTTAACCCTCTTCTGTTGCAATCACTCATCGATCCTCCTATGTCGAACGTTCTTCAAGAGGTAGCCAAAACCGAGAATAATGGAAATGCTTTTCACCTCATACAGTTTGCGCACTGTTGAATGGTAACCACCGTGTTTCTGAGATTCTGTTAAATTGGTGTATTAATTTTTAAAAGCCACGCAAGACTTTAGACCAGCATTTCAAGTATATAGACTATGAAACGTCTGATATAATCAAACACGGGTACACTTCGCATAGGGGTGTCGAACTCTTTTGTTGTTGTTCTTCCCCATTCCAGTTTTAACATTACTGTACTTTTTTTTTCCCTCTTTCATGTAGCCGAGGAAACCATCCACTCCTCCGTTATCCGATCCGCTTATCCTCGCGTGGGTCGCAAATCCACACCCAGGTTATATCGTGGACGTTTTTAATGCAACAACACAAACACGCGTACCTAATAATAGAATAAATAAGTACCTAATACCGAATAAATTCTCCATTCTCCGAGTGTGCACGGGCAATTATTACATGAATTTAGCTGTCGTTACAAGTTGTTGACAACTTCGGATGCTCAGTGCTAGTTTTCATTTACCGTGCGCCGCTCCGTCGTCTCCGTTTGCGTTGATCCTCTTGTTGGATAGCACCTGGACGTGTTTCCCGCTGGTCCGACTGTACAGTTGGTAGGTTCGAGTCAACCGGCGGCTCATCCGGTCCGACAGCCGACTCTGCTCGGTGACATGGTGCTTGAAATTAGGAGGAGACTGCACTGTGTTCTGCAGGACAACAGTAAGCACACGCATTGATTCCTAACATTCAGCAAGTGTGGTGAGCCACAATTGTGTCGATGGTTTGAAGCGATTAATTTTAATTGTTGTTTAATCAATTATTTAATTAATTCATTTGACACCGCCATTTGCGGCGCTTTTAAGGAGTCGTTTGCGGACCCTCGGGAATGACATTTCCCCCCACCCGTTCGTGCTTTTTCTTTACCAGCGGTGATCTTTCACCCCCTTCTTGACTCCCCCCGCCCTCAATACAGCCGTCCACATATGTTTTAACAATCACCTGTCAAAGTGGGATCTTGCCACTTTTCAAGATGTTTGAATTTTTGCCAATTTGCCGTAACCCTCCTAATAAAATGTTTTCATTCTTATTGCAACCAATTGCAGACGTTTGCAGACGTGCAATGTACGTAGTGTCTACATATGTTACCTACCCACCTGTTTAACTTGACTTAGTTAATCAAACTATTTGAATTATTGTCAAGATGTTTTGCTGAAGTGAAAATATGTTACCTGTGCGTAAAAGCAAAGCGCTGTGAACTGGAGTAACCTGTTAGAAAAAAAAAATGAATGAAAATAAATTAGCTGGCTTGGCCAACTTTAATTAAATACGATTTACGTGAGAATTGTATTTTTTTTTTTTTTTTTTTACTTACAGATAACCTAAACCTCGATGCTCTCAACCTCATCTTGTAGTAATTCAAATATTGATTCATGAATACTCCGCTGATTCGCTGCTGGAAGGTCTCAAAAATGAACTTCTCCCTGCTTCGGAATCCTTTCAGCTTTAAGCGCTACGTGTTTGGTGGGAAATAATAGATCCAAAAGCCCTCAGTCCCTTGCAGGTGAAGATCCCCTGTTCCATTTCATTCAAATGAGTGAAAATGCGAAGTCCAAAATGAAAGTCCGACATGAGCGCTGCTGTTCACAGGACATCTGTAGTAAAATCGTGTTTTTAAAAAAATTGGCCAAAAAGTATCTTCATTTATATTGAAATCCTCATCAATTCGCCGTGACAGTTCTCGAGCGTGAACGTTTACGCACGGAACTTTACGCACCAGAAATACGCACAGAAAAGATAACCACAAATCCAATCCACAACATCATTGAACAAATTCTCGGGATGTGCCTCCTTGAATATGCTGGATGTTGTTCGGATAATTCAAGTCCAACGTCCCTCTCGTCTTGCGCGTGTACCCCCTCCCATCCACCAGCAGCATCTGCCTCGCTCCAACATTTAAATAGCTAAACTTGCGGGAAAGTCAACATCCTCGGCGAGAGCGGGCGGGGCCTTCAAGCTGGAGAACATTTGAAACCGAATACTTTGTTTAAAATCTTTACATGCACCTATTTGCCTCAGGAGTGAGGTGAGAAGTGAACCATTGAGTTTATTTGTGGCTTCACATGCGACTGCCTGGCATGTATCATTAGTGCCGCTTTCCCAGACCACAACAAACCATATACTGTACTGTATATGTCAATGACAATGGAGTGTATCTTCATCCGCATAGAAATCACACCGCAATTGTTTTTCTATTAGCACAAATGTCCACATGGAAAACTTTCCTGGCATGTACTTAAGAACATCTCCAGTTACATTAACATATTCCCTTGCTGCAGGTTAAAGGTGCTTTGCCTGTCCCACGAGGGCAGGCCTCGATGTACTTTTTTCATCCGACATATGTAAGTAATATGTATTCCATGTGAACGCATGACATAAAATGGTTTTCACATGACATATAGCTGCATGGATACAAATGAGCTCTCTCACAATGATTCCCTGCAGTTTATCACAATCCGAGTTTGATTCTCAGAAGTGTGTGCAGGGCCTGCTGTGCTTTCTTATTTATTTATTTTTTCATCGAAACCATGCGATTGCACAGTACCTGTTTGCTCAGTGATGACAAAGACATGCACCGAGGGCCTCCTGCAGAGGGATATGACCGCTCTACATTTGTGTGGGCTCCGTTAGAAACTGGAACTTTGAATTTAATTATGTGACCTTGCACTTCACGTTTAAACAAGTTCTGAACTGAGCTATATGATTTCCCTCAATTTTATATATTTTGGGGATCATAACCTCACCGATAATACTAATCTTCTCTGTGAATCTGTCAAATATATGTCTTGATAAACTTTCTTGCGTAAATGTATTTTTTTTTTTTTTTTTATGGAAACATCAATGCTCCCTTCTGAAACAATGAAATAAATAACGTGCATAATCATTGCAGGAGACACTGAACACACAAACTGATCTAAACACACTGTCCACATCACACCTCCATATCTTTATCTGAAGTTTATTCATTAAATGGGAAAATCAAAGGCTTACCTTAAATTGGCTTACCGACTAATGAGACAAATCACATGCCATGACCTCACCACAACACACACACACGCACACGCACACAGAGCAGCTGTGTAAGAGTTACATCTAAAATATATATTATAAGGTGCGTTTAAGATGTCATATAGTCGTAAATCAGTCATTCTAACCAATGCAGGGGATTTAGGGGGTGAAAATGGACCTGGCTCATTAGTTCCAGTGGGATGCTGGAACAATGGATTTTGACACCTGGAACAATTCAGCACCTTGTTCAGCTTTTTGCTGACCCCCCGCCTCAAGCAATCCACCCACATGCTTGATAACTCATCATAGCATCAAGTTAGCGTATGCACCAGTTCTTTCAAGAAAGTGAAGTCCCCTTGTTAAAATAGATGACTTTTTATATGTGGATTTGGAATCAATGGAGCTTAAAAACGCCTCCTCCCCCTCCAAATATGTCAGCATGTTTTGTCTTTTTTTTAGATTGACAACTTATGTCACCCGAAAGATTTTCATTCGGTAGAAAATAGAGACACTTTGAGTTTTCCAACCTCACTGTAGAGTAAAATTTTCATTTTCTGAAGAAATTGTTTCTGAGAAATGCTTTCAACAAGCCACAATGCCAAAAGACACAACACAACTTTTGACTCTATGCTGATACTTCTATCAAAGCACACGATACGGCAAATGTGGGATAGTACGCAAGGGTGTCCTGTGAGCATCAGAGCATGACATCAGTGTCACACTATTGCGGCATCATTGCTGTTGCCCTTCATTTCAACTGCTATGTCCAATATTTGGGAACTGATGCACATTCGAAAGCCTCATAGATCCAACCCAGAGCTTTTTTTTTTTTTCTCCAAAGGTGCCTTTTATCTATCACAACTCAGATTCCTACTCAGCCTCAGGCCAAGAGTTTGATAAATAAGACTTAACAGTGCAACCTCTGAAACCAATCGAAGGACAACATTGGACATGTCACACTATGCGTCAAGACGAACAAAAAGTCTGACATGCCAGACTTTGGTCATCGTAGCCGTGAAGTGTCCCAGATGCCTCACGACCAAAAGTTGAGTATGTCATACTTTGACGGGCTACGACGGGTGAAGACAATTCCAAATCGGCTACGAGACACTGTGTTTGTCTGCAACACTTCTGTCAGGTGAACAAAAAAAAAAATCAGGCTACATTCGTATAGTCTGGTGTAGGCCTGATACGTATAATATTGAGGACTCTCGTTTTCTTGGATTGGGCAGAGCTGGTGCTTCGAGAGTAGAAATGAGTCAGAATGTTCAGAGATGGATGAATGATGACAAACACCAGTTTGGAGGTGTTTTTGGTGAGGAATTAACATTTTAACAGTTGCATGATACAGGCCCTTTAAAATGTTACTTCAATGATATAATGGTGGTATGACAAAGATCCCAAATCTTTCCATTCTTGTTTATGGAAAAATTATTTGGGAGATCAACTAGTGTCAGTTGACTCTCAGAGTTTTCTCTGCGCTTAATTAATCATGGCTGTAGTTGGCCACAGGTGGATAGCGTCATAAAATAGTCTCCTGAGACCTATGCTTTTCATGTACACAGTCGGTTTCTAAAACTCAATTCAAGTAAAAGGTAACAAATGTAAAAGACATACAGCGCAAACGTTACTTTTTCATGTGGGTGAGGAGGGAGTCTGTGAGTACTGAGAAATGATCTTCAATGAGGTAAATAAGAAGCAGCATAAAATGAAAGCATCATAAGTAATAATAAATAATGAAGTGGAACATGTCAACACCATCAGATAGTCAAATAACGTACGCACAATATATAAAACCACATCAAACGAGAACAGGACCTACAGTGTGGTAGAATGTGTGCAGACTGAAATAATAATCACAAATGATAAATTGGATTATAATTAGTGCAGGATAGTACTTGAAACAACAAATAAAATGATGACTTCTAAAGGCCACTCTAGAAAGTACATTAACTCAATTTTGTGTGACTTTCTTGCTCTGTAATTTGCATCATACCGTGTATCCAATGAGTATTTAGCCCCCCCCCCCAAAAAAAAAGAGAATGCAATCCAGTTGCAAATCTAAACCAAAATAGTCATCGCCATGATCATCTTTGCACAACAAGCGCATTGCTATAGCTCTTGTATTGATCTCTTGAATGTGGTGCACGTGTACCTAATGAAGTGGCACACCGGACTGAGTGCTGTCCCCTGGGATTCCCGAAAAACCTTCAGCTTCAAGGCCTTCAGAAAAGTTGAACCATATCCAAGTTTTGCCACAGATCCTCATTCTTTTCCCCTTTTCTCTTGGCCTTCCCAATGCTGCTTTTCTCATTTGGATCACGTCACTAACGAATACAAGGTACTGTATCAGGGAGTGAGGACAAAGACAGAGATCATTGGGAGCTGAGAAAAAGGAGAGAAACATTTTGGCAAAGATGCACTGCACTTATTCTCCCCGGGGTTGACTGACTGAATGTCTGAGACTGCACTTGAGTAGACTACCATTAAGTGAGAGGTATCATTCCCCTCGCTAATGTGAGACATAAAAATACGCACTTTTAAATGAGGCCAATGGAAAGGGAGATACAATAAATGAAGCGGGGAAAAAAAGTCAGGAGGAAGACAAAGGATATGGAAATGACAAAATATGGCATCTTGACATGAGCGTCACGCCAAAGCAGTGACAGCCCAAACCTCCGAAGAGCATTTTTGTGGGGAAAACTTCTACCACCCGTTCTCATGATACACTGATGCTTTGCGACAACATGACAAACGATATCATGAACCCGAAACCACGCACTCGCGACTCATTTTCAACCCCTTTCATAATTACACCAGTTTTCAATTTGTTCATGTACAAATGACATATTTGTACATACCTAAACATATTGAAATGTCATAATCAATTTTAAGTAATAGCGTTGACCTATTTTGTGTGTGTGTGTGTGTGTGTGTGTGTGTGTGTGTGTGTGTGTGTGTGTGTGTGTGTTGATAGTTATTTATTTACTCTCAGAAAGCACTGACTTGTTGAACTGAGACTTGGAAGTATTTATTGTATTTCTTGATGGCCCGTTGGAATTTAGGAGAAACTAGCCATCCATCCATTTTCCGAACCGCGAGGGTCACGGGGCGCGCTGGAGCCTATCCCAGCGGTTTTCAAGCAGTAGGCGGGTTACACCCTGAATTGGTTGTCAGCCAATCGCAGGGCACACATAGACGAACAACCATCTGTGCTCACGCTCACACCTAGGGACAATCTATAACTCTAGATTGTTCCATTAACCTACCATGCATGTTTTTGGAATGTGGGAGGAAACCGGATCACTTTGGGAGCAGAGGAGTTTGCAGCCATGCAGTGGCAAAAGTGCCCGAGAAACTCTCCACAGTGAAGAAAAAAAAAAGGGGAAATCACGTTAGCGTTCGTGCCATGAGTTTGCAGCCATGCAGTGGCAAAAGTGCTCGAGAAAATCTTCACAGTGAAGAAAAAAAAAGGGGAAATCACGTTAGCGTTCGTGCCACTGATGCTGCAAGCACTCATGTTTGAGTAGAGCGAAGAGCTTGAATTAATTATGACTTGATTCAACCACTCTGTGGGAATGACTGACAGTCTAGAAGCGCTGAATGGAAGCCAATTTTACCTTAACCCAAAAATATTGGCATGACGTCTTCTAATCATAAACTCTCTTTATAATGTTTGCTTTAAGGTGCTCGTGTGTTGCTCAGTCTTTTGCAGGGGTTCATTTTACTTCAGTATGAAGTACTTCAACAGAATGTTAAAATACAAAACTGGAATCCTAAGTACAGTAATAATTATCACCAGGATGTTTTTGCTAAGCAATTTTAAATCTGAACGCCATTGCTT